GAGAAATATCTAAGGGTCTAGAATATAATCTGATGGGTCTAGAATGCCTCTTCAGGGATGTGGAACATAGCTTGATATGTTGTTGTTATTTTTTTGCAGTGTCTTTTGCAATCTGTAAAGTATTTTCAGAAATCTGTAAGGAGGCAAAAAAATTATCAGAAGAAATCCAGACATTTCCTAGAGGAAACTGGAATGAGTCTGGAAGATTCAGTAAGTTACCCAGAAGAATGAACAATGTGTCGGGGTATTTGGAACATGTCTAAAGGAGCTTCTCATGTACTTTTGCTCAATAATTTTTGATCTAAAAGCTTTCAAATGGCACCTTTCACTTCTCTGTTCTTCAGCCTGTAGATGATGGGCTTAAGCATTGGAACAAGAACTGTGTCGATAAGGAAGAGGAGTTTGTCAATGTCCATTGAGCCAGTTGATTTGGGTTGTAAATACACAACCGTTCCTGAGCCATGGAACAGAGTCACACCAAGGAGGTGTGAGGAGCAGGTGGAGAAAGCCTTGTGTCTGTCCTCAGCTGCCAGCATCTTCAGGACGATGCAGATTATTTTAATATAAGAGATGAGTATGAGAAGAAAGGGGTGTCTGCAAAGAATAAGGCACCTGTGAACACAATTATCTTATTCCAATAGGTGCGTACAAATGACAATTCCATCAGAGGGGGGACATCAAAGAAGAAATGGGTGATTTCAGGAGAACTGCAGAAAGGCAAAGAAAGCACAAATCACGTTGGCAATGCGGGTGATGGAGAAATAAAGGAAGGCAGCTTGCAAGGATGAGGGTATCCCTTTCACATCTCTATACTTCTCCATTCAAGCCTCCATAGACCTTTGTGCAGGGAGTCTGCTCCCAGAGACCTCAGGAAGGTCTTGGTAGCTCAGGAAGACTGCAGTTGCTCAGGAGAAGACCTGGCCAGAGACAACCTACCTCTATTCACCCCAATCCAAAGCCATTTTAGGGGCATAGCACTTGATGTTCTTCAGCTGAGACTTTCAAAGCAACCTAAGGGATTTGGATGCCCAGTTCCCATTAGCATTCATCGGAATTGGTTGTCCAATTCCCTTCAACATCTGTGTACACTGCATCCTTAACACTTTCTCTCTGGAAACTAGAAGAATGGATGAGCTACAAATGTTCACACAGGAGGGAAAATAAGTGGGAGTGAGACACAAAGGTTTGTGAGGACATGCTTGCACCCACCAAGAGGGGACTTTTCACCCTGTTGATTAAATTGTTGGACAGTCAGAGAACTCCAATTTAAAGGGAGTTGCGGTAAAATTGGAGAGGATCCAAAAAAGAGCCACGAGAATGAGTAAATGAATAGAAAACCTGCCTGATAGTGATAGAGTCAAGGAGGTAAATCTATTTAGCTCAACAAAGAGAAGGTTCAGGGGTGACTTGATCCCAGTCTATAAGCAACTACCTGGCGAAAAAATATTTAATAATCGGCTCTTCAATCTAGCAGAAAATCATCTAAAATGATCCAATGGCTGGAAGATGAAGCTAGACAAATTCAGACTGGAAATAAGGTATATTTTTTTAAAAGGGAGAGTAATTAGACATTGGAACAACTTACCAAGGGTCATGGTGGATTCTTCAGCACAGACAATTTTTAAATCAAGATGGGATATTTTTCTAACAGATCTGCTCTAGCAATTATTTGGGAGCAGTTCTCTGGCCTGTCCTATGCAGGAAGTCAGACTAGATGATCACAATGGACCCTTCTGGCCTTGGAATCTATGAAAATCAAGGTTGGAAAGAACTCTGTACAGAAAGGGAAGCCACATCTAGAGAAGGAAAATGACCATTAGATGTTACCAGCAGTGAGTGTTTTGGAATCATTGAAATAATGTTTTCACCTTCCCAAGTGTTTGTGGATCTGCACATTCCTCCCAAGTAGGGCTGTCAAAAAATTTCTATCAGGACTTTTTTTGATGGAAAGTTGGGTTTTTTGACTAAATGTGAATTTTTATAGAAAGGGTCTGATTTCCTTGAAAGAGTTCCATTACTCGTCACAAAACTGAAAATAGTTTGGACAAAAGTTTTTGACGGTTCTTGGAAGAAAACTTTTGCATCATTCAGCTGACACTGTGCTGTAAAATTGGAACAATTTGCAGGTAGACGTCAAATTTTCAGCTTTGCAGAGCTTCAGTTTTCCCACAAAACTCAAAATTTTCCATACATTTGCATTAAAAAGACAATAGAAAGAAAGAAAGAAAGAAAGAAAGAAAGAAAGAAAGAAACTTTTTTCACAATTAAAATATAGGAGAATATATGAGGAATTAAAATATATGAGAAAGCATGGGGAGGTTCCCGATTTTCTTTCTAAGATGAAACAATTGCAGCTCGTATGCAAAACGGGTTTTCAGCAGGAAGTTATTACAAAATAGGTAGGGTGTGGATTTACAGCGCACTAGCTATTCTGCACTGATCCACCATTCCTCACCAATAGCTATTTGCATTCACCATGCCGGGCTTTTTCGCCATGTACACAAGCCCTTGAATTTGACCCGTCTCAATTCCTGTCAATGTTAAAAAGGCATTGATGGCTCTTCTCAGGGCCTCCTTGACCTCTCTGTTCCTCAGGCTGTAGATGAGGGGGTTAACCATGGGAGTCAGAACAGTGTAGAAGATGGAGAACACTTTGTTAAGGACCCTTAGTGTGTCGGTGTCTGGGAGCATGTAGACAATCATCAGTGTCCCATAGAAAGTTGTCACCACAATGAGGTGAGAGGAGCAGGTGGAAAAGGCCTTCTGCCTCCCGGTGGTGGACGGGACTCTCAGGATGGTGGTGATAATGCAAATGTAGGATGTCAGCGTCAATAGAAATGGAGGCAGGGTGAATATTGCAGCCATAAGGAAAGCCACAATGTCCATCAGGCTGGTGTCGCTGCAGGACAGTTTTTTTACTGGGGTGAAATCACACAAAAAATGGTCAACTTCATTGGGGCCACAAAAAGATAACTGTGACATCAAGGATGTCATTGTGCTACTAACCAGAAGCCCATTTATCCAAGACCCAGCTGCTAGCTGGAGGCAGAGCCTGCCATTCATGAGTGTTGCATAATGCAGAGGTTTGCATATCGCTAAATACCAATCGTAAGACATCACAGACAAGAGGCAACACTCAACACCTAACAGAAAACCAAAGAAATAATATTGGATGATGCAAATTCTGAATGAGATGCTTCTGTCCCCAGTCAGGAGACTGGCCAGCATCCTGGGCAGGATGGTGGAGCTGTAGCAGGTCTCCAAGCAGGACAAGTTACCCAGGAAGAAGTACATGGGGGTGTGAAGGTGCTGATCAGTCACAACTAGTGTAACAATGAGGATGTTCCCAGCCATGGTCACCATGTAAATCACTAGAAACAGCAGGAAGAGAAGAAGCTGCAGTTCTAGAAGATTTCCAAATCCCAGGAGGATGAATTCTGAGATGGATGTTTGATTTCCCCATTCTGTGTTCGCCATCGGGTGCATCTATGGAAAAGGGAACAAATTATAGGATTGTCATCATGGTAAAGGAAGGGAAGGTGGATGAGGCATTTCTAGAACAAATAACCCAACTATCCAAAACAAAAGACCTGGTACTAATGGAGGACATTAATGACTGGAAAAGTAATACAGCGAAACACCACATTTCCAATAACATCACGGAATGTGTTGGGGACAACTCTTTCTATCAGAAAGTCAATGAAGTAAGCAGGGGGTCAGCCATTTTAGATTTGATTCTGACCAACAGGGAGGAATAGCTTGTGACCCGGAAGGAGGAAGGCAATTTGGGTGAAAGTGATCATGAAGTGCTAGATTTCATGATTCTAAGAAAGGAAGGAGAGAGAGCAGCAGAATAAGGGCGATGGATGTCCAAAAACCAGACTTTAACAAACTCAGAAAACTGGTAGGTAAGATCCCACAGGAAGAAAATCTAAGGGATAAGGAATTCAGAAGAGATGGCCGTTTCTCAAGCAGAAAATACTAAAGGCACAACTGCCAGCTATTCTGATATGACGAAAAGACAGAAAGAAGAGCAAGAGCCAATATGGCTCCATCAGGAGCTCTTTAATGACCTGAAAATCAAAAAGGAAGCCTACAAAATATGGAAACATGGACAAATTGCTAAGGAGGAGTACAGAAGAACAGCACAAGCATGTAGGGACAAAATCAGACAGGCTAATGTGCAAAATGAGTTACACCTGCTGAAGGACATAAAAGGCAGTAAGTAGAGTTTTTTTAAAATACACTAGGAGCAAGACAAAGGAAAGTGGGAACGGCGGCGGTGTTTAATGCCTATTTTCCTTCAGTCTTCACTAAAAAGTTTAATGGTGACTAGATACTCAAGACAACTGTTATTAACAGCAAAGGAGTAGGAACACAAGCCAAAATCAGCAAAGAACAGTTGAAGCATAAGAAAGGAATTAGGTGGGATTTTCAAAAGTGCCTTGAGGGTTAGATGCCCCAAACCTTATGAAAGTCCTTTGAAAGTCCCAGCCATCTTTCAGTTTTCAGTACTTTTGTCAATCTTGTCTTAATTTTTTTCCTATTTAGTTTATATCATATCAGGCACTTTTTGTATCTACCTGAATGTCAGTTAACGTGTGGAACTCGCTGGTGCAGAAAGGCAAAGATAGGGGGAAAAGGCTAAGAGAATTATTTTGAATATTAAGAAGAATAGCCACAGATCTAATAGCTCAGATAGAAATGTATAAGGGGAATAAATCCTTCTATTTCATGTCATATCCAGACATTGGCAACCAGAAGTTATGAAGAAACTTCCATTATTAGTTTATTACGCCCTAGTTGTCTATTACAGGGATTTTATACTTTCTTCTGTCCATCACAGGCTAACCAACTGCTTAATTACACTGACCAGTCTTTTTTATGCTCCTTAGATATGCCCGTCTTATTAGCCAACATGTCAGACACACGGGTGATTCCTGAGTGTCTCATTTCTGGGGTCCATGATGGGGTGAAATCCTACCATTGTGGAAGTGAATGGGAGTTCTCCTATATATTTCAACAGAGCCAGGATTTTACCCGGTATTTTGGAAAGTGATTCTTACTTATTTCCGCGATTTATGGAATATACATTATTGACATCCACCCTAAAACTCCCAGAAGCATGGACGATGGGGCTTACCTGAAACTCTGGTATATTTCAAGCTTTAAATGATGGTCTCTCATTTCTCCAGGATTCAGGTTCCACTCTCTCAGTCACTGCTCAAATTTAATGACTCACTAAAAAGAAATGCAGGTGCTTGAGCCACAATCTGTCCTAGAATGTGTTCCTTCCCTTCTAGTCCCGAAATGCAGACACCTCCTTGTGTATATATCATTCATTATGGAAGATGGGGTGTCCCCTGACATCGCTGAAAGAGATTTGGAATGACTGAGCAAGGGGAATTCCTGGGTTTTCTGTGCAGATGGCACAAATAATGATCCCGAAGCAATCAGCCTTCCCCCTCCAAGGATGTCGCTCCTCTGATACCTGATCAACTGAATAATTGCTCTGCGTGATGCATGTAAAGTCTGTCTCATCTTAGCATGACCCATGGGCGGCTTCTCTGGGGTGACATGAATGAGGTCAGAGATGCAGGCAAGGCAGAAAAAAAGGAGAGAGTAGCCATCAAGTAAGTGGAGTGCAGGTGTCAAAGGGAAAACAGAGACTCCGGGCCGGTGTACACTACAAAGTGAGGTCAGCCTCACTACACAGCCTGTGTGATGTAAATAAGCTGACCTAAGTCCTGCTGTAAACACCGCTAAGTTGATGGATGAACTCCTTCCATTGCTGTAAGTAAGTGTCTATGCAACGCTGCTTCAGATCCACAGCTGTGCTGCTGTAGCATTTCTACTGTAGACATATTCTAAGACAGCCCCACCCGAGGCTTAGTGAGAATTCAGGATTTGCTGACACCTCTCTGCCCCTTTCTCAAATGAACTCACACTGACGTCTGACGAAGTGGGTATTCACCCACGAAAGCTTATGCTCCAATATGTCTGTTAGTCTATAAGGTGCCACAGGACTCTTTGTTGCTTTTTACAGATCCAGACTAACACGGCTACCCCTCTGATACTTCACACTGAACAGCTAATGGTTCTACATCACCAACAAGATGCCATACAGAGGTGTAGTCAAGGAGCAATGCAAAGATCAGGCACTGCAGGAAGTACCACCCAAAGCATCCAGACCGCACCCTGAGGCCCTCTGATTGGCCCCTGCTCACTATTTAATACTGGAGGGTGGCCCTGGAAGATGTCTGGGTAGCTACACAGACTTCAGGCCTGCTGTGACTCCAGCCCTCACCTGGTTTTCTGATCTCCGGTCTCTAACCCTGGCCTGACTCTGACCCTCACTCCTGCCTATCAGTCCTGGCTCCAGCGACTTCTCGCTCACCACTGCCACGTGGCCATCCCTGACCTGTGCATGCCAGCCCAGCTGTGACCAGTGGGACAGACTGCCTCCGTCCTGGTCCCTTACAATATCACCCATGGGCAAACATTTTTCACAAAGTTGTCATTCCATGTCTGATCTCTCAGTCCTCGTCCTCAGAGCAAACCTGCCCAACAGCTTCAAAAGGTGAGCCAGCGAGCTAAAATACACAACTTTCACAGATGCTAAAAGTCATGGACTTAATAAAGAAACTGGATTTATGGCTATTTACAAGAATGTGTTATCCACTAACTCCTCCCCCTTTATTGTCCTATAACTCCCAAGGCGTTAACTGGCCACTTCTCCTCGAACGGTCTTTTACAATATATGTTAACTCCTTATGCTAAGCAACCTGTTCCACAATGTATTTATCTGTGACCTTCTGAGTATCTTTCCTAGAAGACCTGTCTGTAGCCCAAAGGTTTATCTATCTCACCAACAGAAGTTGGTCCAATAAAAGATATGACCTCACCTACCTTTGGGTATGTCTACACTACAGGATTAATCCGAATTTAGATAATTCGAATTTGGGAAACAGGTTGTATAAATTCGATTGTGCGCGGCCACACTAAGCACATTAATTCGGTTTTTAACCACATTAATTCGGTGGTGTGCGGCCACACTACCCCATTACTTTAACCACAGTAATTCGGTGGTGTGTGGCCACACTAACCCTAATTTGAATTAACAAAATCGATTTAGGCGCTACTCCGCTCGTCGAGGTGGAGTACAGAAATCGATTTTAAGTGCCCTTTAATTCGAATTAACTGGCTCTGTAGTGTGGACGGGTGAAGGGTTAATTCGGATTAACGCAGCTAAATCTGAATTAAAGTCGTAGTGTAGACCAGGCCTTAGAATCTATGAATCTATGAAAATCAGGTTTGGAAAGAGCTCTGTACAGAGAGGGAAGCCATGTGCAGCGAAGGAAAAGGACCATTAAATGTTATCAGCAGTGAGTGTTTCGGTCTCATTGAAATAATATGTTCCCCTTCCCAAGTGTTTGTGGACCTGTATATTCCTCCAAGTAGGACTGGTCAAAAATTTTCTGTCAGAACATTTTTTGATGGAAACTTGGGTTTTTGACTAAATGTGATTTTTTGTGAAAAGGGTCTGATTGCCTTGAAATCATTCCATTTTTCATCACAAAACTGAAAAGAGTTTGGCCAAAGGTTTTTGGTGGTTCTCAGCAGCTTACAGAGTGCTGTAAACTAGGGGCGGAAATTCAGGTTTCCCACAAAACTCAAAATTTTCCATGGAACACTTGCATGAAAATGACAATACAAAGTAAAAAGAAAGAAAGAAAGTTAAAATTAAAACCTTTTTTCCCACAATTTACCAGTCAGGGAAGGAATTAAAATATTTGAGAAATTATGGAGAGGATCCCCCATTTTCTCTGCAAGATGAAACAATTATAGATCGTATACAAGATGGGTTTTCAGCGGGAACTTAGTATGAAAGAGCTAGGGTGAAGATTTACATTGCAATAGTTATTCTGCACTGACACCACCATTCCACATCTATAGCTATTTGCACTCACTACTCCAGGCTTTTTCCCCTTGTACACAAGCTCTTAGGTTTGAGCCCTGTCTAAATTCCTGTGAACATTAAAAAGGCATTGACAGGATGTCAGGGACAATAGAAATGGGGGCAGGGTGAATATTGAAGCCATAATGAAAGTCACAAGGTACATCAGCCTGGTGTTGCTACCGGACAGTTTTTTTACTTGGGTGAGATCACACAAAAAAATGGTCAATTTCATTGGGGCCTGTCATAACTATAAAGGGAAGGGTAACAGCTCTCTGTGTACAGAGACTCCAAATCCTTTTACCTGTAAAGGGTTAAGAGGCTCGGGTAACCTGGCTGACACCTGACCCGAAGGACCAATAAGGGGGCAAGATACTTTCAAATCTTGGGGGGGGGGAAGGCTTTTGTGTGTGCTCTTTGTTTTAAGGGGTGGTTCGCTCTTGGGACTGAGAGGGACCAGACATCAATCCAGGTTCTCCCCATCTTTCTAAACAAGTCTCTCCTATTTCAAACTTGTAAG